GACGGGGAGGAAGTGATCAGAAAGTTACTAAAAATTCATCAAAACTCAAAGGAAAAATATATTTACACCAGTGATCATGAGAGAGGAGACAATGTTTATTGAGCCACCCCACCAAAATAATTTTGCCCTTTTCGTGTGAGTATCCCTTCCTGCACTGAAACAACCACATCCCCCCGTTATAAAAATCAGGGATGGCCAGAAGAAACTACTGAATATTAGACGGCATTCTGCCTTGTAGAACTATGAAAGAAGTCAATGACCTTTGATGTAAGCTACACATTCAACTATGAATACATGGGTTGTAGCTAATTTAAGGATAAAGTTCATTGGCTTGGATATTCAAAGGGGACAATGAGATTTGGAAGTCAAGGAGAGTTGGGCATTATAGCATAGAAATATCCTAGGTGTTTTTTATTTTTGTTTTTAATTTTTGCAATGTGTTTATCCTGTGAAGGTAAATACCAGATCCCAAATTGATAAAGTCATTTTTCTTTGAACATAGTGTGCCAGATTTTGCCATCCTTATTCACAGTGAGCAGTACTTTGCTCCATGAGTAGCCTCATTGGGACTAGTTATAAGAAAGACACTATTCAACACAACACACAGATTAAAAAGCAATGAAATGAGCATGCACCAAACTGGGCATGGTGAAGTGGTGTATATTTTCCTCTATCATACAACAGGTATGAACCTTAAATATGAATCACTGTATAATTGTGGGAATAAATATTCCGGTCAGTGTTACAATAATCTGAGCTACACAACCTTGCTTAATTTTTAACTTAAATGTTCACAGGCTGTCTGAAAGGGGGAAAACCCCATCTTAATATCTGAGGATACAATATATTTTGTTAATTTCAAAGGCCAGTAGAACCAAAATCAACAGGAACAGCTGTTCAAAAGAATCATACAGTGCTCTGTCACTTTGGGCGTCTCAGGACCTGCATTTATAAGGTTATTGAATTTCAGCTTCATCATAATTCTTTAACTCTTAACATACATCTCTCTGTAGCATGCAAACTCCTTGTCTCTCAAGAACAGCCTTAAAAACATGGTGCACTCTGCTACCTACCTCTCTCAAATGTGCTGAGTTTTATGCAATATCCTGCTTTCAGTCTGTTTACCTTTCTTTAGAGACTAACGTGGAACCACCAGTTAAGCTGTTCCCGGACTGTTGGGCCTTTCCCAAACTGATGGGTTTTCCCTATGCATCATTTGTTTACAGACAAAGCAAAGTGTTAGTCATAACTAAGTCCGAGTCAAGTAAACTTGGTGGGAGCAGTGTAAACAGTGTTCTCACATTCTGAGTTAGTGGTTTGGAGTAAGAAGCAAAAGTGCCTTATGTTGCACTTTGTTACACTTCAAAGCTGCTGATTGCTGATCTTCTCACAATTATAAGTGAGTGAATTCCTAGTAGGAATTCCCAGTAGTTCATAAACGTGGGATTTATATTTAAACATTACCTGTTTTAAAGATATTGTCCCATGCGTTGGTATGAGCTTGCCAGACTTTTGTGTTCAGACTTTTATGAAGTTCAACTGGGGTCACCATCATCATCCCAAAAGTACTCATCATCTGTAACGAAGAAGGAAAAACACACCTTTGTTCACTCTGAGTTATCACCAATCAGTTATGCTTTGTGAAAAAAGGTGGATTAACAAAAAGAAATAAAATTCTCACTGTAGCTCAGAATTGTGGTTCTGATAGGGTGTCTATCTTGGACAGAAAGGATTCATGTTTGAACTAGGACCACAGCAAGTGTGCTGTAAAAAGTGAGTAAGCATGCATCTGTTATGCACAAAATCCCCTATATCTGCACATGCAAATAAGCAATTTTAACAATGTCACATAGGCATGACACCCCAACTAAGGTAATGATGTTGCATCGTATGTGCCTATTCTATAGAGAAAAGATTTAATCAGTAGCCCAAACATGTTTCTAGGGTTGGTTTATTATTTTATACCCTTTTTTGGTACAGTTTAGTCAGAAGGCAAATTTGGCAGTTAGATGTCCAGTTACCTGCGTTGGACATGTAAATATGTGGCTTTGCAAGTGCAAAGTTGTAAATGTATAGGCAATGTTTGAAAAAATGTCCCTGGAATTCATGTCTGTTTTATTATGTGCCCTGGAAATTGGGGAGTGAAGCAACAAAATAAAACTCACTAATTCAGTACACTGATTTAAAAAAAAAATTACTACTCTGTCTCAGGAACTGTGTTTGTATGTAGAGTAGATGATGAGCACTGTGCTTAAGGACTAAGGTCCAGCTCCTCAAAGCTATTTAGACACCTAATTCCCATTGATTTCAACAGGAGTTAGGTGCCTCATTGCCCTTGAGGATCTGGGCCTAAGCCTTCTCCATACCGTTTTTACAGCCTTGATGAAGTTCAGGCCTTCTTCTCCCACATCCTGCTGCAGGAGTCCAAACCTCTTCCCATACAACACCAAGCAGATACCTGTGATTTAATATATATGTGTAGTTACACAAGAGCATCTAGACTAGTATCCACCACTTACTCAATTAACCTTCTGAAAAATATTCTTAGTTCTAAGATACATTCTTATGCACAAACAAAAGCCTAGATACTTCAGGGTAGTTCAAGATTCCCTCTGTACCGGCTGGCTCAAACTCAGTGGGACTCCAATATCGCAGCAGGGAAATCTAATCATGACAGCCATGGGAAGTGGAGCTCTTTCCAGGGAAGGCTTGCCACTGATCCCTTCCTTTAAGTGGCATCTCTTACTGTGTACATCACAGTCACCTTATTTGCCAAATGAGTTATTTGGATTCCCTAATGCACATTTAAGGGGATTTTGAATGTCTTATTAAAGATGCATGTCTTTTTTTTTTTTTTGCATCAGAGCTTTATTATCAAAATCTATTTTTTTGCCATTGTTAGCAAACATCATAAAATCAGAAGTTAGGGATGGAGGAGACCTTTTAGCCACATCTAATCCAACCCTGTGGGACTAGCACAGGATTGTTGCCTATACTATAGTCGCTAACATTTAGTCCAAATTAAAATGTCATAACGGTGTTAATATGAATGTAATTTTCAATTATAAAGAAGAAAACTTACTTTCAAAGGACCATTTGTTGAATTCTGAATATATGTCTTCAATTTCACCATTGTGGTTACAAAGATCATCTATTCTATGCATGAAATCCACCAGGACCTAAATGATGGGAAAAAATTTTTGGAGCCAAGTTTAGCTTCTCGATCCTAAGCAGAGTGTTTGAACTGCTTATCTAGTACTCTTCAAGTTCAACAGAGACAGGTTTCAGAGTAGCAGCCGTGTTAGTCTGTATC